TTCCTGCCTATGCAGGGGGTCGGACTTGATGATCTATTGAGGTCCCTTCCAACCCTAGAATCTATGAATCTATGAAAACAACATAGCTCATGTTTGCACACCTAAATTTCTGAGGTTGCATGTAGGTATTTCTGCCTTAGCCCGAAATGTTCCCTGCAGTCCATTGTGTTGACAAATTTACTCACCTGAGCTTAAATAAGACTTGAGGCAGCCACCAAGGTGCCTAATGCCACTTTCACTCTCTCCTGTTCCTCCTGGGAGGTGGCAGCAGTTCTACATAGTTTCCTGTAATGCATGCAGTAGAGAGAACCAGAGTCAAGTATTGTTAGACATAGAAACAAGAGCGTGGAGCCAGGTAGTAGTGCTGGTGCCAGGGCTGGTGCCCACCTTTGGTTAGAGCACTAACCTAGGAAGTAACATTGTAACGGGAGGTAGGATATGTGGGTTCAAATGTTCTCTAGCCAAGTGGCCTAGAACTCAGGTCTCTTACTTCCTGGGCAAGTGCTCTAACCACTGGGTTGCTGGCTAAAAGATGTAAAGGCAGCCATCCAGGTTTTCTGGTGCACACTGTACTAGTGCACTAACTGTGTGCAGGTATCACTAATAGTGTTAATTGCTGCTTATTGTCTTTGAAGAGTCTGAAGCAGTGCCTGACAGGGTGCATTATACAGTTCATAAGTGTCCTTATTGATATATGGGAGACAACAAAATATGCCAAGTTATGTCTGTCTCCCCAGAGTACAACACAATTGGCCTGCAGGCTGCCAGGCGCCCTGGCTACTTTATCCTGTTTGGACGCTGATTCCTTTACAGATGCAGTAGGATTGGGCACAGTGGGAAACTTAGGTGCTTTAGGGGTATAATAGGATTAGGCTTCCTGAGAGACTTTACGATTAATGACAAACTGACTGGATTTTAATGTAATTTAATTTGCAATTAATAGCAAACTGAACTAGAGGCACGTTTCAGGATTTGAGTCTCAGCATGTAGACAATAGCCAGCTGGCTAGCCTGTGTGCCTGGCAGCAATGCCCAGTCCAAAGGGAGGGTCTTTTGAAACCACTTGGAGCAGTATTGCCCTTTCACCTCTTCTGAGGCTCCGACAGCTGTGTAACAGGATATGCAGCTTCCTGAAAAGGTATAAGTAAATACTTCTCTTTGTTGTGTTCTCTCCAGCAGCTGCCCTGCCTGAGGCATCCCCTTGTGCCCACTTTAAACACCTTGAATACCTCAAGGCACCACCAGCTCTACTCCATGTGTTTAGTTTTGTGCTCCAAAAATGTACCTTTGTTTCTTAATTTAGTTTTGCATAGCATTGTGGGGATAGGCTTCCCTCTGTATCTTAGGTCCTGCCCATGTGAAAGCCCTCCTCTACATATTAAAAAACTTAAGCGAGTGTTCCTGTGATGCCCCTGCACTGATGTGAGTTTGACTCTGTTCTAGCAGCTTTTGACAAGGATCAGAGCTCTGGAACTTCTTTTTTGTAATACTGTGATCTTTTTGTCCCATTCATTCATCAGGCGCTTATGTCATAGTGAAAAGAAGCAGCTTGTTCTACTAGATTGGGGCAGAACATCTAAGTTCTATTGAAGGCTGTGCCCTGCTGGTTGATGTTAAATCAGTTCAACTTGCCTGTTTCCCTTATTTACAGGAATCTTATTTAAAGTAAGTTCAGACTGTAAAACTGGGAGATAATAATGTTTTTCTTTCCTTGCTAACAAATTCTTTTCATCCCAGATTATTCAAAAGTTCATCTAACACAACTTCTGGAAAAAGCTGAAGTAATTGCAGGACGTATGCTCAAACTTTCTGTTTTTTATCGGAATCAGCACAAAGACTACTTTGATTATATCAGGTAAGAAAGTAGATGCAGAATCAAAGGTGCAAATTAAGAGAGAGGTGCAGTATAGATATTATAACTTGACTCTAGTTGGTGTGAAAATAAGCATACTAAGTGAGAGCACCCATTTCAGTTTTACAGCAGAAAGTGTGAGTACTATATTTCCTGTTCAGGAATAAAAGTGACTCTTTATTTAAGTTTGTACAAGTTGGCACTTAATTTGGACTGGAAATAAAAGTTTGCTTTTGGGAGTAGGAACTGAATGTGCAGAGCCTCTACCATAGTGTGACATCTGTCCTGATTAAAGTCTCTGAACACATTTTAATATAAACATGCATACAGATAGATTTTTTTTTTGCAAATAAACAGTGAGTAATTATGCATATGCAACCCCAATATTATCTACCCTATTTTAAAAACTTTAATGTATCCTAATGTGTATCTTTTGATGAAAGAGATTAGGTGGAGGTTATCATGTCTATTATTGCTGAAGAGGCAATATGTCGTTGCACAAACAGCAAGGCTAGACAAGTATCCAATTTAAATATAAATTAATTCACCTCCAAAGAAGGGGTTAGAACTCAGGAACCAACTTAGGAAAACAGTGTGGTGGTAATAATATTATCTTTGGGGTACACTGCTAACCTTGAAGCAACGTGGAAAAAGCTGTGCAGAATGATAACAGCTCTGACCAGGCTTTAACATGGTTGTTTCTTACATTGTAACAGTGTCAGGAACATTACAGGAAGTGTTTTGGGTTACAACAATCCTTCAGACCAAACAAGAAGTTCCCTTTTGGTTCCAGGGGGAGGGAAATCTAGCTCATAGCTTCAAGCCTTGCAGCCAGTTGCCCATAGCAATGGCCCCTCCTCCATGTGAGCCTGTGCTGTTTTCAGATGGGGTGTGGGGGAAGGGAGCAGAGGGAGCTTATTCTAGGGGTTCCCCAGCCAGTGCTGGAGGGTGGACTGTGTGGATTGGAGCCCCCCCACCCCTCCAGTGGGGGATAAAAAAACCCAGACCAAATTCCCTCTGCTCTCTTTCACCCTTCCCATTCTGAAACCAGCAACAGACTGGGAGGCAGTGCAGACACAAGTTACAGGAGGTGCTGTATTTTGTAACATCTTCATCTGAACCCTCATGCAATGAGGGTTCAGATTTCCACCTGATCAGCCATTTCTGAAGCAGTCTGCAGCTGTGTACTTCTGTTTGGTCATGGCTGCTTTCTGTGGCCAGATCAAACAAAAATTGTCACTTCTGATTGCACCTTCATCAGGGTCTAGTTTAGTACTGCATAACTTCAGTTTTACATGGGAATGACTCCTGTTGATACCAGTAAAATGAAACCAGCATAAAACGGAATCAGCCCTTTCAGTCCAGCAATAAGAATCCATGATCAGACATTTCTAAATTGGGAATTCTGTGTACCTTTGTACCTACCAGATGGGAGTCTTGTGGCTTTGTGTTGTGTTTCTGCCAGATTTTTTAAGCAAATCAAATTAATGACAAAACTGAGAGCAGTGGGACTATAGAATGTATTGTGTTCTTTTTAGTTTCTCTGAGAACCTAGTAAAACCTTGCAACTATCCTGGATTGCCCCCCCCCCCCCCCCCCCCGAAATAAAATCTCACAGTAACTTCTGAATTTTAATTTCTTTGTTTTCAGAGATACTTGGCTAGATTGCACATTAATTTGTCCACAACTACAATTTTAGACTTGCTGCTTCAAACAACGAGAATTCATAGCTGTATTATTTAAGTGGCTGTCCTGTATCTTTTTTCTGTTTTGCATGTTCTTTCCTTCTTTTCATAAGGTTCTAGCCTGAGCTAGTTTTCCTTGTTATAAAGAAGTTGGATTGACTGTTAAGACATTACCTGAAAGGAAAATTAAATTTAATTTTACTGAGTTTATGTTAATGTAATGTACCAAGTGGCAGCTGGTATATATAAAAATGTGCATCTGTTGTTACAGAAATCAGGTATATTTACACTTTTTTTAAACACTTCAGTAAGTGTTTAAAAGAAATTCAGTAAGAATTTCTGGAAATAAAGTAATTGTGTTCATGACTGCTAATACACTTTCTCTTAGTGTGAACTTCAATGCAGCCACAACAGTGATATTTAAAAAACTAAATCATAGTCTGTATAACCTTTCAGTTCTCCTAAATAGCATTTCATATCCCAGTGTGAAAGCTGGGTTTCACACTGGGAAAGATATGTGATTTAACAGATCTCAGATAGATTTCCATGGTATCCTAACTAGCTTGTCAAATGCTATGTTTTATACATGGCATATAAGTACAGTAACAGCTGCTTTAATAAATACTAACTGCTTTCTATAAATAGCCTGCACGTAAAATGGCTTGAATCCCTGTAGAAGACTATCTTATAATTAGTCTAATTGGCCACTGGATGTCAGTATCTTTCCACAGATATACATCTGCAAGCACTTTTTTCTGGTTGCAGGAAGGTGGCCATTAAAGATTATAATTTTTTGGTATTTGTTTTGTTTATAAACTCCTGATCTCAATTCCAGACCCTTTCTGTTCAAAGTGGTAATTCTGTAACAATAAAGATGGAGATCATGAGAGATGCAGAGAGTATATAGTGTTTACCTTGAAGCAAAATGAGACGTTCTAGTAGGTAGAAGGGGTATAATCACTAGTAGTGACACTGTAAGTGATGAAGCAAATTTATTTTTTACTGCATTTATGAGCCTCATGACTGAGCTTCTTGCATAGTTCAATGATTCTGAATCCTCCAAAGTTAATAGCAGGCAATGCTCACACTCATATCAGGAGCTGATACTAAATTTGCTTTCCATAAGCACGTACAAAATGAGTTCAATGTTTTTTGTTAATTTGTTAATTTTTTAAGTCTAGTCATAATTGTAGCTGGGACTGTCACAGGTTAAAATATAGACCAGAAAACAAATAAAAAAATATTCCAAAGCAACGAGAGATAAAGATAGATCTAGCATGCATGAAAGCAATAGGAATCTTCTGCAACCTTGCTAACAAGCAAGCAAATTTCAGTTCTACCAGTGACAGAAAAATTCAACAGTTTCTCTGGTGTTTGCATTCACAAGGAAGTTTGGGGTGCGGGGAGTTAATATAAAAATATTATTGATAAATAATATATATATTAAACACACTCTAACCTCCTTTTGATTTCAGTGGCAGCAGTGCTCATTTATGTACTTCTACGTATCTAGCTATCTATAGAATATTTTTATTTACACGCACTCTCTCTTTGCTCTGACTGGCTAAAGGACACCAGTCTCAGTTAGGGCACAGATCTGCTGTACAGAAACATTTGATTTGCTGAAAACAATGTAAATTTTCTAACAAAGCCCAGTTTACTAAACTTAAGCAGCTCAAAATGTCTACGTTAAGGACAGGGACATAAGGGGCGTGCTATACAGGGAATGTTAATGTCCTTTTACAAGCACCTCTCTAGACTCAGCATCTAGTCAGTCTGCCAGCATGTTTCTTGCTCTTATTCTGATACCAGGTATGGTCAAAGATAGCTAATGTGGTATTTATAAAGCATTGTCTTGATGGAACTACTTTGAGCTTTGTGTTTTTGTTGCATTTCACCACCATATCAGATAGCGTCCACAGTTCATGCATATAATGCAGCAAATTGCCAGAGGGTGGCCTGCATTCATTGAACTGTAATTTATATCTTTAAACCATGCACATACACAGGCACTTTTTCCATGAGGATTATTTTATGGGATAATATTAAATGGGATAATGTGGACAGTGGATCAGCTTGAAGGCAAAATGGTGATTTGGGACATAAGACAAGAGGCAGAGTGAACTCCATGAAAGAAGGCAACACAAAAGAAAAGCCAAACATAAGTGCTGGTGTAGAGATGAAAAAGAAGAAATAAGGTTTGAGGTGTAGGCCAGGGCAGGATTTATAAGGGAGCAGTCTGTTGAGTAAAAACAAGAAGTTTTAAAGAAAAAAGAATCAGTCAGGTTGGATAAAGGAAATGACCTCATCCATCAAATGGCTTACATCATTTTCATAACAGCATTTTATGAAGAAGGTAGGGCACCAGTAAGTCTGCCTCTGAAATGTTTAGGCATGTGCAAGGCATGAGAGATCATAGATGGATGGATGGACACACACACTATGCATGTATGTTAATTTTGATAGCCCTTATGAAAAGGAAATCAAACAACAAGGTAAGATATTGCACTTGTGCATTTTCCCCTCATAGAACTAGTGGCTGAAGGAGGTGTCTAGCTGTAGAAAAGTGACCCAAGTTATATCATAGTTAAGAGTCCCACTGCTACTCCTATTGAAGTCAGTCAGTAGCAGCCAGATTAGAAGCTGGTAGTGTTATGAGCTCCTTCGTTATCTTGCACCGTAGGGAAACAGACTCTTTTAGAAGAAAATATCCTCTGCCATTGTAGGTCTCACTGAAAAATGTTTAAAAATAACCCTTAGGTAAATTTGCTGTATTGAGAGCCAGCTCCTTATAGCCAAATTTGCTGTATTGAGGGCCGGGTTCCCATCACATGCTTAGGTGAGTATGTAGCCATGAAACATCAGTATTGGGGATTCAGCATAGCCCACAATTGCCTACTGGATATATTCTTCCCCAGCTGCCTGGGGAGACTAGAGTTACCCAAGTGAATGTGTAATTGCAGGACAACCCACAGCTTTAGTCAGAGACAAACCACAATTAGATGCTTGAGGAGGAAAGTCCTCCTACCTATTAGCTATCCTAATTAGATATCCTAATATCCTAATGATGGGTGCAATTGCTCAGTGAGCAAGGAACATGAATTCTAGACTTCCCCAGTGATTTGCTCCTGTATGTCCCAGCAAACTGCCTGCACCATCAGGCTGTTGGCTTAAGTATTACTCAAAGTACTCTCCATCTTTTCTCTTGAAGCTGGTCCACTGAGCAGACCAAAGAGGGAGCTATGTAGAATGAAAATGAAAAGAATATAGCAGCAGATATGTGGCTCATTGAAATATATGCATCCATATAAAAGTGGGAGCAGCCTGGATCCCTGTTCCCAGTAAGGCAGAAGATTTTTCCTTGTACTGTTTATCTATTTTATCCAAGGACAGTTAAAAACAAGGTGCAGTAGACCATCTTCTAGTGTTGGATGCCTTGAGAGTGCTCTTATACAGTTCTATTCAAGCCTGGTGGGAAGCAGGAGCAGAGGCTGAAATCTACTTGGGATGAACTGGGGGTGGGAGGAAGAGGTGTCGAGAACCCAGCTCCCCTGCTTCCAGGGCAAATACTTAAGTTTCTAGGCTATTGGGATAAACGCTGTATTGAGCCACTGTCATAATTTCACTTCTTCACACAAGCAAAGCAGAAATGGGAGAGGGTAATAGAAATAGTCCCAAATGGCACAAGTGCCAAAAACAGCTATGGACCCACCACTTGACCCTTTATTCAATATGTTATCCAGATACTTTTTAAATTTTCTGAACATTTGAATTCAAATGTCTTAATTGCTTAAACAAGTTGGCTGATTAATTGATAGGGTTCTTGGGTTTTTTGTGTTACTCTCTGCTTCCACAGTTATGAGAGCTCACACTCAGAAGAGGAGAGAGGGTGGGAAGAACATTTCCTTCTCTCACGCATTTTGTTCATGGATATTTTAATTCTTGGCAAACTTGGGTTTATTTGGTTTTTTACTTCTCCTAAGGTTGGGTTTCTGTAACCTTACTTTTCTAGTTAACAGGTTCTCTTTCTTTCCTTTAGGAAAGAAAGGGGACAGGGCAAAACAATAGTTTTAACTAATTATTGTTTTTTTGTCTCATTTCAAAATAAACAATGGTAGTCATTCATTTTTAGAGAGCACCATGAGAATGTTATGCAGCCCTCTGTCAAGGATAACAGTGGTAGCCATGGCTCTCCAATCAGTGGGAAGTTGGAAGGCATCTTTTTTAGCTGCAACACTGAGTTTAACACTGGAAAGCCACCACAAGATTCACCTTATGGACGATACAGGTTTGAGATCATAGCTGAAAAACTTTTCAACCCAAACACTAATTTATACTTTGGAGACTTCTACTGCATGTACACAGCCTATCACTATGTCATTCTTGTTGTTGCCCCGGTTGGATCACCAGGAGATGAATTCTGTAAGCAGCGCCTTCCTCAGCTAAATATAAAGGATAATAAATTTCTGACCTGCACTGAAGAAGATGGCATCATGGTTTACCACCATGCCCAGGATGCTATTTTGGAAGTAATTTACACTGATCCTGTGGATCTGTCCCTTGGCACAGTTGCAGAAATTACTGGCCATCAGCTAATGAGCTTGTCTACTGCAAATGCAAAGAAAGATCCCAGCTGCAAGACCTGCAACATTAGTGTTGGACGTTAATTACTCCCCTGTTATTTAGGAGCCTTTGAACCTTTGTTGTCCATTTCCATAGTCAGATGTTCTCTTCAGAAGCATGTACATGCCACTTGTCACCAGAAGCAAACACAAGTTTTCAAACTGTTTAACAGCATTTTTAATATTTCTTCTCTCCCTCCTTCCCTTTCATCTCCAAATGCTTTAAACTATTAGGAGTCCTGATTTTCTTCTTGGCAACTGTTTATATCTAGATGCTGCAATAATTTTTTTTTGTTTCTTGCCAAACATAACAAAATCCTATATAAACTGCTTTAACAAAATAAAAATAATGGCTTATAAATGGTGTTTATATATGCATTCATTTTAATCTACTGAACAAATACTGGGATAACTCCAAATAGCATGAGAGGTTGTAATTGCAGCACGATTTAAATCTCAAAACCTAGAAATGTCAGCACTTCCAACTTGTTGTTTGACAGTGTTATTTATGTTATTTATATTAGCTAACTGGAAACAAAAAACATGTTTCAACATAATAAATATAATAGAAACATATTTTATTTGTATTGATGTATAAAATGTTATACAATCATATAGAATATATAGATTACATTTTAATAGCAATTGTATACATCATGAAACCATTTTCTCTTATCAAAGATGTAGTTTGTAAACTTCAAATAGTTGTGTATCTATTCCTGTTGCTCTTAAATGACTTAATTAAACAGATTTATGAAGATCATTCTGATTAATAAAAGTTAAGTTATAAATCAAGTCAATACACTGAAACAGCAATCACAGAAATAAAAACAACACGTGTCCTTTTCCTCCAAACTATTTTAAAATGTGTACTTCTTTAAAATCATGCTGAACCATTACATACAATAAAGTACAAACATGATTGTTATATATTAGACTATAAAAAAAATTATCCTTTTCTTTTTAAGATAGAAAACAGGTGCTGTGTGTTAATACAAAATGGCAGTATAATTGAAATACTAAATATGATGCAACATAACCTGATTTTTCAGTTTTTCATAATTAGGTTAAATACTTCCCAGAGCTAGTACAGTGCCTTCCTAGTACAACTCGCTAACAATCCTTCTGTTAAATACCCCATCCTACATGGAAATGATCTATTGCAAATAATGAGAATTTCTCCTTAATATAAAGTGTGGTGCTTTGAAAGTTAGGAAAGATGCTGAATTCCAATGGAAAAATAGCTTTATCATCTTACCTTTAGTAAAGAAGATGACTAGTACTCCTCATCTTATAACCATGACACTTGAATATGTACTGCATAAATTATCTAACCAAATTATCTTATCATAATGCAGTAAACTGTTCTCATCACATAGGTATGTGGAAATTATACTACAGGAAATATTTCAACATTTTACAAAGTGCATGCTTCCAAATGAGCTTTGGTAGTTAGAAAAGCAACATTTTATACCATCAGGCAAAATAAAGTGCAAAGTTAATGCAGAAATAAAAATCAAATAAAAATCAAAATTAATTTATTTTACTGAATTTTCTTTCAGGTACTATAAACCAACTGCATTTAAAAAGACAACATCCAGGATCTTTATATCATGTTCACAGTTTTTTATACTACCCTTTTACAAGCCCAGTAAAAAAGCATCCCTTCCTTGCTCAGTTTCCTTTTTGATTTCCCAAATAACATAGGTTTTTTTCCCATTTCTAAAAACCATGCTTCCACTTAGCAGCTATTTTACTACTATGGTTCTGAACCAGCACCACTTTGCTTCACTCCAATAATCTAGAGTCCATGGATACATTTGAAGCATATGGGAACTACATGGAAGAATTTGGTCACAATGATATAAGTTAACATGTTGTTTCCCCTGATGGAGTAAATCCCCCAGAAGCATTTAATAATAGTGCATGCTTTTTTTTTTTTTGGTGACACAGCAGTGGATTTATGTTTGTTGTGTGTAAGAATCTAGAGAGTTTTCCCTGACATTTTATAAATAGTAAAAAAGAGCATGTCTGATTGAGAGCCTAAACTACATCACAGTGTCCCTTTAACTTCAAATATTATCACAGTGCACTTCAAACCTTCCCACCCCTTCAAGTGCAAATCACTCACTTCTGCTTACATACTCTTACATGTTGCTGTCCTCCCCACCTGATAATATAATTATTAAAGTTCATCACAATCTCATTGTGTCCAGTAATTGTGCAGAAACCTATACTTGTAAAACTTTTTTTTGCTAGAGAAACAGTAGTACTGCATAACACAGAATTCAGATCTTCAGATTGTTTTGATGACATCATGCTTACTAATGAGCACCTCTAAGATTTTGAATTTTGTGTGCTTGTATTCAGAGTACTCTTCAGCCATTAGTATGCAATCTTCCTTTTTTGGACTCCTGTAAAGGGCAAATAAAACCCCATCACATTTTATTATGAAGAAAAGTGGGTTTCAATTTTTTTCAGTGGAGATTAATGTATTTTATTTTTTTCTAATTGTAGACACCCACAGATAGTATGACAAGAACAATAGTGAAGCAGGATTATACTAATGGCTATTAAAATATTGAATTGTGATAATTAGTTTACTACACATAATTTCTTATTAATGGTGTGATTGCTGATTTACTCTAAGATACACAGACAATGTTTGGAAGATACAATTACCAGAGTACTAGCTGCAGCTGACTGGAATGGGATGGTGGTCAAGTGTGGAAGCATTTGATCTCTGTAGAAATGATCTTCATTTCACAGGGCCTCCACAATTTGTTCAGATCCTTGAGACTCTTCCAAGTTTGGGGCTCTTCATTTTTTAAACCACATGCTTTTTGGAGCACGTACTTTTGGAGCAAGTAGTTCTTCATTTTACCCTGCCCTACATGTGGCCTTATGGATAGGTGTTATAGACTTGAAAGCCCATTGATCTCAATAAGACACTAATTGCTTTCAGCAAAACTTAGTTAGACCCAGAAATTGCAGAGTAGAAATTCCCAAGCCTTTTGACCCCCACTATTTACAGGTGATGCTATTCTTTTTGTGGAAGTGTACATGGAAGGATTAAGGATTTTATTGGTAAATATCACATTATATCAAAAATAAGATAGGCTAGTTCTATATTGTAGAATTACATTTTCACTTTACATTATTGCTAGGAGTGTGAGGGTAGCACACTTCAAAATTTAAATTGCTCAATTGTTTAAAAAATCCTGAATTCATTTGAGTTATGACACAGATAACATTTACTTAACTCACATCTTGCAGGTGAGTCGCTCCTACCTAAGAGCACATACTTTAATAGAAACATATAAATAAACTGATATACATGAAGGCAGAATTGTTTACCTTCCTGTTTGTTTGAAGAATTGTTCCTCAAATTCTCTCAGGGCTTTGTGAAGCCTTCTTTTGTCTGCTTTTGTTTCTCTCAGGTGTTCAAGCAGCACCACCCTGCAAAGGAATATTTTGAAGTTTGTATAAACCAAAATACTTAAGAAGATGATGATCAGCTGTCTAGACCCATGACAGACCAAAAGTTCAGTGCACACAAACTGGTTTGGACATGGTGGAAACCAATCTAAAATTTCTCCTCCCCTCTCAGCCCCTGCAAAGGGCAAATATGTATTCTGTTTGCTACTGTGTCACGCACAGAAAGCCATGTAACTTAGATCAATTCTGTCTCAGGCTTTTTGAATGTCTATACCCAGCCTCGATATACATAGATTCCCATTGAGTTCTGTGGTATCTAAGTGCAGAGATCAACTATCTGGTGTGAGAACTTCAAAGAATTCTAATATTTTTCCTTAAAGGGTGAGAGTAATAGATTTCTAGCATTACAAGTTTAAAACTTACTTAAATCTGGTGTTATTCTCACTCGTCAATAAGGTGAATCCATTTGCATCATTTGGACAATCCTATGAGCATTCTCAGAGCTGTGGCTACACAACATCTAGAATTCACATACCGTCTTGCAGGATCAAGCACCTAATTAGCAGGATAACAGCACCCACTTCATCAAATATCTGCTGCCAAACAGTACTGCTTACTGTAAGTCAGCAAAACTGCAAGTAGTAGCAAGAACTAGGCGGGGCAGCATTTGCAGGACAGCATTAGGAGACAGAACACCTCCAGAATATGGCCTAGCTGGTATTATTTCAAAATAATGAACTGCCCTGATTTGTGAACACACACACATTATGAGTTCCACAGAAAAATATGCCATCTTTATTTTCACTCAGTTGATAGGACCCAAGTGATTTAATTAACTGTTTCTCAGCAAAAAATATATAAATAAAAATAAAGGGAAAGAAATAATCAAATGATCCATTCTCTGCCTGCATTTTCTTAAATGAGTGAAAAGGTTCAGTGACAAGTGAACGTGTTGGCATAACCTGAGCTGTATACTGAAATACAAAAAACCCCACATCTATGGTTTGTTCCTCTAGAGTTGGCTGGCCATCCTTCTTAATAGCACTACTGTATTTAATGAAATGGTTGACAGGGTGATGTTGTCAAGTGGTGAAAATACATACACATCTATACTAAATCAGACTATACATTTAAATGTAAATTTATATTTTAAAAGCTATTATATAATAATAGATTAAATAATATTCTGATTCTTTGCTCAATTTGCTTGTTGATGCTAACAGAAAAGGCGTCTTATTTCACAACTGTGGCAGTACTATTATGAAAAATGACATTTAATCGATATGACTGCAAGCATAAACTAGCCTCAATCAATATTGAAATTTCTTTATCCTAAATTATCCTTCAGTTGCCCTCTAGGAATCTAAGTAGATACATTTCTGAAATCATTGATAAAAATAAGTTAGTCAACAAATCTTTTTTCTGTCATACCTATTTATAATTATTTCTCTTACTTACTGATACTCCCCTGCCACTTTTTTCTGGACTTACTCCATTTTCTGTTTGAATTGCACACTGTACATGAAGCCACAGGTAAGTTCACCAAACAAGTATCCTGTATTTGTCTCCTCTCAAGAAAGCAAGTAACCAATTCCTTGTGTCTAGAGCTTCCAAGCTCCTCAGCTTGTCACAGTAAATATAGATCACGCTATACCTCCAGGATGTACAGAAAAGCTTTAAATGTAAGAAAAATGGCACCGCTCAGATTGTGGCCTCATGTAAATTGGACAGAGACAGGGCTGTCACGTGAAAAACATAGATGCTCCTCAACAGGAAAGCAAGATGTTGAGCTGTATCATGGTTCCTGGTTGCTTTGAGAATGGTCTTCAGCTGAAACTTCTTCCTCGTGCTTGTAATATGTAATGTCATTATCAAATTAACCACCTGCACTATATCTTTTAAAATGAATGGGATGATTAATGTAATTAATTCAATTCTTACCAGGTATATCTTTACTGAAATGAGTTACAAGTATAAAAAAATAACAGCTAAAAATGTCTTGACATTTTCTTATGAACTCTTGAAAGCATTATGTTATAAGGTAGCTTTCAACATGAATCTGACTTCTTTAGGTAGTTGTCACAATTAATTTATCACCACTGATTAGTCATTTGAGTAAAAATTTACACCAGTACATCTTTAAACAAAAAAGACATTGATCACAATCCTTCACGCCTCTTTCTCTTGCATGTAGTCTCACTGAAATCAACAATATTATGCACGTAAGTAGTGTGGCATGACTGTCCTTCATGAAATTCTCCAAACAAGGAACCTGAACTATCTAGCACTAAAAATAGGCTTCATAAATTAAAGTTATAGTATGCATAAAATAATTGTTTCAAAGTTATTTGTAGAGTTACAAATGTTAACCACCAAAGCAGAATGACAATGACA